TAAAGTCTGCTGCAGTTTCCACGGTATGCATCTGATGAAGTGAGCTGTAGCTCACGAAAGCTCATGCTCAAATAAATTGGTTAGTCTCTAAGGTGCCACAAGTACTCCTTTTCTTATTATGAGATATTAGCTATTAGCCCCACTTTGGAGATAAGGCGGAAATGAGGCACAGAGGAGGAAAGCATTTTGCTCAGGAGAGTAAAGCAAATCATCATCCAGCAGAGCGGGAAATAGAACCCAGGAGTCCTGGGTCCCAGTCGAAGTTAACCCCTTTGTAAGGGTAGTCCGCACCTCAAGTAGCACCCCTTTGTAGCGATGTTACCAGGGGTCCTCATCTCCAGTGTCCCTGTGGTGGCCGCTTCCTTGGCCCTGTGATGGCCTCCCTCCCTCTCTCTCTCTCTCTGGGTCTGCTGTGGCCTGGCTCTCTGGCCAAGTCACATAAAGGCTCCATCTGCTTCCAGGGTACTCAAAGTCCCACCACGAATATAGTCTTCAGTACTAGTCCCAAGCTGACATAGACAAAAGGTTCTTTTCCACTTGCGGGCTCAACTCATAGTTCTTTCTCTTCCCAGAGCCAGGGCCGGCTCTAGGATTTTTGCCACTCCAAGCAAAAAAAATTTTGCCCCCCCCCCTGCTTTTTTTTGTGCCCCCCGCCCCCGTCTCTGTCCCAACTCTGCCCCTTCCCCAAATCCCCGGCCCTGCCTCCTCCCCCGGGTGCACCGCATTTCCCGCCCCATTGCTTCCTGTGGCTCCCCCACCCCACAGCCTCCTGCCCTAGCTCACCTCCGCTCCGCCTGGTCTCCTGAACGCACTGCCGCTCCGCTTCTCCCCGCTCCCTCTCAGGCGAGGGAGAGGCAGCGCGTTCAGGGGAGCAGGCGGGGCGGAGGGGAGAGAGGGGTGAGGAGCGCACGAAGTAATGGGGAGGGGGTAGAGGAACCGCTCCCCCCCCCCAGCTCGCCTCCGCTCCACCACCACCGCCTCCCCCCAGCGCGCTGCCGCTCGGCTTCTCCTCCCTCCCTCCCAGGCGTGCCGCGTGAAACAGCTGTTTGGCGCGTGGCAAGCCTGGGAGGGAGGGAGTGGGGAGAAGCGGCAGCGGTGGAGTGGAGGCGAGCTGGGGTGGCGGGGGCACATTTCTAGGGGCGGCGTGGCCGGCGCCGGAAGGCAGCCCCTAGAAATGTGCCTCCCCAAGCACCTGCTTGTTTTGCTCATGCCTAGAGCCGGCCCTGCCCAGGGCATGGACTCCCCAGGCTTTGTCCTGCTGGGAGTCCAGATACCACAGAAATCCCACTGGTCTTCTGCCTTCCTGGGCTTCTCTTCAGTTCCCTTTTCCTTATAGGCCTTAGCTGAGGGTTCCTCCCCAACAGGAGCCTACCCTGCTCCCTGTTCCTCAGCTGGCACAACAACTCCAGGGCTGCCTCCCTGGCTGCCCAGCGCCTTCTCCCAGGAGCCCACCACAGGAGTTAGCTCTATTCCTGTGGCTCAGCTCTCCAGCCAAAGGCAGCCTTCTCCTGCAGAAGAGTCCTGCATCCTCTGCAGTCTGTCTTCCCAGACTCCCTCAGGCTCCTTATAAGGCTGAGCTGACTAATGGCTCATCACCTAGTTCCGCCCTCTGTGGCTGGGAGGCAATCAGTCAATCACCCCACAGGAGGAGCACATCTCTCATGGTGGGGGGGGGGGTGGCGGGGGAGTTCTTTCCCTAGCAGGTGACAGGGTCACCCCATCACACCCTTGCCTTCCAGGGACCCCATACACCCACTCATACTGAGAAGATGGTCTTGATATTTCCAATGGTTCCTGATTCCAGTCAGGCCAGAAAACCTGTAGAAATATATTATTTAGCTGCTTCGTTTCCCAGCCAGGTCCCAGCCCTGCATAGAAAGCAGGAAGATGCATTTTTAACAGTTGATCATCTTTTAGTGGACCTCAGAAACAGTCTTGGGCTAAGGTTCAGGTTGGGTCTCATCTAATCTTGAACTGGTTTGACCATTGCTAGCCTCCGTCCCCCATTCTCACCAACTCATAGCAGAGAAGCTGACCTTGAAGCAAGCAGTTACACTGTGCATAGCTTGTGAGGAGAGGGATGCCCATGGTACCGCATCCGCTGCAGTGCTGAGCCCTGGACCAGGGCTGCAGTAAGCTGCTGGGATTCCTGGACAGCAGCCCTCAGCCCATGTAATATTGAGACCTCAGTGGGCCACACTTCTCTTTTGAATTAACGTGTATTTGTGCATTCTACCCAAAGGGAATTCTAACTGGATAGGAGACGTTTTTGGAGTGGCATGTGGGTATCCTTGGATTCACATGCTTCCCACATCCCACCAACTGCCCTACACCGGTGGCTAGGCCAGAGCCCAAAGCATCCACACAATCTAGACCAGGCTGCGAACCACAGGATCCATTAACTCATGGAGAGCAAAGATTTCCTCTCCTTTTCTCCCTCAATTCTCTGGTTCGTCTGGAATAACTGTCATCTCCTTTTCAGCTTGTGTTGCCCTACCATCGTGTCCATGTTCAGAAGGATGGATTGTTTTTCTTCACCAAAGAGCGAAATGCCCACTTGAAAGGACAAGAGAATTCTAATAAGTGGCTACGTCAGATTGTCCACAAACTACTTCCTTGTATAGCTACGTCACCAGTCACTGGTGATGACTATGCCTGATGTGAGTGCAGTGTAGAAGAGAAGAGATTGTTCTGCAGAGAGAAGGCTCCAAACTCCTGCAATGTCAATCCAGTATTTTGCATGAAGCACCAGGGACCAGATATTCCAAGAGAAGCTCAGGGCCTGATTTCCAAGACCTCAGAATGCAGGATTAGGGTCAGATTTTCGAAAAAGCGTAGCGCCCATTCAGGCATCTCAACAAAGCCCAGATTTTCAATAGTGCACCGCACACAGCAACTCCCATGGGTGCCAACTCCTCTGATGATGCCTAAGGTTAACAGCTAGGTAGGGGGTCAGTGAAGACTTTAGTTCTGTGTTTATATGTACCTTTACAATGGTTTTTAATTATCTGACTGGAATCCACCCTGCTGTGCACACAGCTGGCCTATGGAAATGCATGTTCTCATTTCCACTCTGCACCTCTTTCCCTTGTTACGCTCACTTGTTGTGTCTTGTCTTAAATTAGCCTGTAATGTCTTCAGGGCAGGCTCTGTTTTTCACTGTGTCTGTACAGTGTTTAGCACAATGAGGGTCGCTGATGGAGGGGCATCAGGATACTATGATAAAACTATTAATTATTATTAGAGAGATGCTATTGGTTTTATGCCAGGCATCAAACCATCCCTAGCTCGTTCACATCTGACCCAAGGTTAAACTAGTCCTTGTTCAGTAGTGTATACTTGGGAGATTCATGCTTAAAAAAAGACGTCTTTGCTCTACTGGAGCTTTGCAGCAGGGATGTTTATATTTGTTATTGTTAATGCATGCCCGTTTTCTAATTTGCACCTGATACACTTTCGCTCATATTGTTAAACTCGGATGCATTTCTTTTTTTGCAGACTTAATCAAGCAGTTGATAGCTGCCATTCGCATTTGTTGCCTTCCACACTGAAAAACTCTTTGCAAAGAGCTGCTCCTATCTGCACACTTGCAAAGGCAACTGCATATTTAGCATGTTCACCACTCTGGGACTGCAGTAATTAGTTGTCTGTCTGGCACACAGACTTTCGGAGCTGTGCATTCATTCACTTTCTATTAAAATAAAGTAAAGGCCGTAGTAATAATAATATATAGGGAAATAGCTCAGTGTAGGCCGGAGCCTCTCTTTAGTTCTGAATTCAGTCGGTCAGGCTTTCTACAGTATCACAACCTTGATTGCTGGTTGTGATAAATGAGGGATCCAGGTCAGGACTAGACCAAGTTCCTAAATATTTGGGTTTGTATGTAATTTCTTCATCGCACTGCTCCCATTGAAATCAATGGCAAAACTCTCACTGACTCCATAGGCAACAGCTTTGGTCGCCTAATGAGTTGTGTGACGTGTACAATATGTGCAGTTTGATTTAACACACATGTATCCGCACCTGAGTGGTGGGACTGACAGCAGCAGCTCAGAGAATATTAAATCTCCATTTTAGTTACAGCTTTGAATGGATTCTCTCCTCTTTTATTTATTTCCCCCCTGTCTACTGGACACAAAAGATCTACCTCTTTATGTAATTTGTATAGTTCTATCATCTAGAACAATGCACTGGTTTCTCCTTTCTCTCCTGGCTGCACTCCTTCATTTGTACTGTTCGCTTCCCTTTCCCCAGTGAGGAAAATGTGAAAATAGAAAATCAACTTGCCCAAGCATGTTGGGGTTTATTTGCTTTACCCAATACATTATCTACAATGCATGCATACATTAGCAGAACTATCCTCTCGACAATCCTTTCTGTACTCCCTCCCACTCTCTGTGTTAAGAAAACACCACATAGAGAGATTACAACTGTGTTTTGTGCATGTGTATGCATGTACTCCCCACACAGGTACACATGCATCCTGTATGTGTGTATGTTGTATCTGTGATTATAATTTCCCCCAGGAAATAACCATTTCCAACTCTCTTTTTTCCTGGGACCATGTCAGATTTTTGTTCCTCCTCTGAGCTGCAGGTGGACAATCCTAACTAGTTCAGGGCAGAAATGGAAAGGTGCCAGATCTAAACCCTACAGGAATGAGCCCTGGGTGGGCAGGGTCCTGTGCATTCACTTCCCCCGTTTGTTTGCCTGCACCCTAATTTCCTGTCCACTGTTAATTACTTTCTTTCTTCTGCTGACCACCCCTCACTCCCATCCCTGTGACTGTGGATCACTGGGGCGCACACCCACAGACCAGCTCTCTCCCCCTGCTCCTCGCCTTGCACTGAGCTGCCTGTTTTCCATCCCCCCTTTTGCATGCTAACTAACCTTCTCACACGAGCACACGGAGAGCTTTGCAGAAGGGGCGGGGGGGGGGGGCTGTCTGTCTGCTTCGTTTTATCTCCCAGGCTGAGTGATCTGCTTGGGAAATCACTTTCCTTTCACACCCTGCCCTGGCTCAGCCAGTCTCTCGCAGACATGCAGCTGGAGAGGAAGATGCTGCTCTCCCTGTCCTGCTGCTGAAGAGAGTGGCGAGCTCTTAACCCAACGGGGGGGGCTCTTTGGGAAGGGAGGGGGGGTTGCCCTGTTGCGGACAATCCCACCATCTCCCCCCTCCCGGTCCTTCCAGCGTCCACCTGCCCCTCCCTACCGCTAACACCCTCCCCCCCAGCGGGCTGGAGGGGCTGATGCAGCCGATAAGGTAAGCACCAGAGCCGGTGAGGTTGGGGGAAAGTGGATTGGAGGGGAAAGGCACCAACCCCTGGGGTCTGTTCCCTGCAACAAAGGGTCACCCCCTCCCAAGGAATCCCTGTGAACCTTTGCTTGCTTCCTTCTTAGCCTGCTTTGGGGTTGCTACCTGGACTCTCTTTCCGGCATGATATCCACCCTCCACCCTTCCCCTCCCTAATTGCTTCTTGATTTGCTTCTTAACCAGGTGCTCTTTCTGCCTGAGAGTCCGTGGCGTTCCGTTCTGATCCTCTGTAGAGTTTCTCTATCCATTTGTAAATGCTTATTCTGTGCTTTGGTTCTTTTTCTTCATTGCATGCTCTGTGCATGTAGAGAGATAGAGAGAGGCGAGTCCTTTCTTTCTTTCTTTTATTTTCTGGTTGCCCCCGGACTTGCAGCGTCCTTGTGCCAAATTATTCCCATCTAAATGAAAAAGTGAACTTAATGGCAAAACACTGATCAAAATGGAAACATTTTTTTTTTAGAAGGGGTTTTGCTGCCGGGGCTTAGCTGGCATCCTTATTGCAAAACACAGAAGGATCGATATGTAGATACGTTTTCCTATCCCCAGCTACTATGATTTAAAAATACAGAATGTTTTCAAGATCAAGCTAGTTCGACAGCTATCCGGGCACTCAGATACCATGCGTATGAGAGCCAAATAAGTACCGAGAGAGATGGATAGCTATATAGGCTAAAGCAAACATTACGTTCATCTCAGAGGGCTAGATTCTGCTACCGTTACTCGTGCTGAGTAACACCCTACTCAACAAAAAGTCCCACTGATTTCAGCGGGTAATAAGGCATTAATCAATGTCGGGATGGCAGAATAAAGCCTTGAGTTAGGACATTTTAAAACCACCAGCGAGGTTGCAAAACATCCTCTTTAAGTGTTGTTTTCATCCAGGGACTTGCCCGTTGTTATATGTATTCAAGGAAATCATGTCGTGTTTGCAAGACAGGTGCTGGTGGTGGTGGTGGTTCTTAGGCGAGAGATGAAAGTTTGGTGTTGTTTTGATGTGATTCTTGATTGCTGCCTGTTGGAATAATTGTATTGCCATTGCTCAGAGGTAGAATCAGTTTCCCCAAATTGAGATTTTAATGGGAGCTTGTAAACTGATGTTATGTCATGTGGTTTAAGGCAGCGTTGGATTGCATTTATTTCATAAATTGGCTATTTTTGCAAACTGTTTAGGGAAAACAGCGCCACCTAGCGGGAAGAAACGAGCTTCGAGTTCTATTTATTCCCGGGAGAGCGCACATGTGCTTATTCCCTGCTCAAAAAATACAGCCTTCATCCAACTGCATCCTCTGTAGGGAGTATAACGGGTTTGGAAAATCCAGAGGGATGGGGTCATTGGGATTTTTACTAGCCTCATTTTTTGTAACGATTTATTTTCCTGGGAGATATTCAGGTAGTTTTTTAAAGCTTTTAAAAATGCATAGTGACAACATCTACTAGACTGTCCTTCATTTCATAACTGAAAGCAGAAATGGCATGGCGTGGTAGATCACATTTCTAGGCATCATCTTCAGGAATCCACACTCAACAACCCAAGTGGGAGGTACAGTGTTTCCACCTAAAGTCAGAAGGCACCTTAAAGATCAGGCTCCTCCTTGCTTCTGTGCCCCTCCTAAACTCCTTCTACTTTCTCCAGCCACAGTATATTGACAATCTAGCCTTCAGAAAAATTGGTATTTCCATCCCAGCTGTTCCACAGAAAGGCCTGTTACCTTTTAATGACGAGATCTAGGAGAGGTCCTTAGACATCCTGTTTAGATGGGAAGAGGCAGATTAGACAAATATATTTGTAGGAACTCTTGCAATTTCTAGAGACAAAAGTCAATTTTAGAAGCAGCTGGGAAAGAAGGGGCAGCATTAATGTCCAGTTATACTAAATTGATTTCTCTCTGTTCTGACAGAAAGTCAAAAGGGGGTTGAAGATCCCTTCTGTTTATTTTTTGGCAGTTAGAAGTTACCCAGATTTTCAATTGAGCCACGCACATTTCACCAACAGTCATGAAACTTGCTCACAGACATGACCACCTATTAGTCCAGTTGTTTATTAGAGGTTCATTCAGATGTGAAATAGATGCAATAGGAATGTTGTTTGGGATTTACTCCGGTAGGAGATGGGGATGAAGGCGGAGCTCCCTGCAGAGAACTAAATATACAGAAGAAGAATTCCAGCCAACCTTCTAAACACATCAGAACAAGGAAAGGTTATATTCTGTGATGTGTGAGAGTCAAGCCCAGCCCCACAATATGCTGCAAACAAATTAGGGGGAGGAAGGAGTTGAATGTCACCTGTCACACGGGGAGGTGGGGGTTGGGGCTGAAGTAACATCTTTGATTGGACCAACTTTTGTTGGTGAAAGAGACAAGCTTTTGAGCTTACACAGAGCTTACTCAGGACCTGAAGAAGAGCTCTGTGCAACCTCGAAAGCTTGTCTCTTTCACCAAGAGAAGTTTGTCCAATAAAAGATATTACCTCGCCCACCTTGTCTCTATAATACGACACCGTTACAACTGCAAACAAGTTGACGTGACAAGCTTTATTCTATTGAAAATATCCAGCTCATTTTGCTTTCTTTTGCGGGTAGGAATGAAGGATTTCTCAAACATTCCTCCTCCCTCTCTAGCTTGATCATTATTGCATTAGAAATTGACAAGCCCTTGTATTTGCACTAGTTGTTTTGGGTGATCACTTCATGTAGCTGTCCCAAAATAACTTTACCCTCCTCATGGGGTTTTGAAAAGCTTAATTGATTTGTAGAGGGCTTTGAGATTCTTGGATGGAAGGTACTGTATACAAGCAAAGTATTTTATTTATTGGTGGTAGCATTATAAAATCTTAATAATCCAAAACTGACACCTAACAGTGTCCCTTTAAAGAGACAGGCTACTGAGTCCAGGATCCATATAAGCAGATGTATATTTAGATTGCCCAAGCACCAGAAACTCAGCTGTTGAAACGAAGAATCCTCTTTGCTCTTTGCCAAGCAATAGTCAGCCTGCATGCTTCTCTTCAAAGCCTCTTTCAAATACCATCTCCCCTGACCTACCCCATTAAGATACTGTCACTACCATGCCCAATGCACTAATGAAGCCTGCAATAGAATACCTTCCCTATTAGTTGCTATACACAGACTTTTCAGGGCAGGAAAACATGTTAGCACAGCAGCATTTTGAGACACTGATCCAGCAGCCACAAGAGCTTAGGACAACACACAGTAATATAAAGCTGCTCCCTAACGTCTAAGGGTCTAAATGCTAATCCAATGGGAGTTACTGCACACATCCACATTTTGAGAGAGACTGCAGTGTAGCGGTAATTAAATGTAGGGTACAGACAGTTCTTGTTTAAAAAATACTGCAATGTTCTGCATCTAATCACCGTTTTGCAACCTCTAAAGGTTTGGATCCTTGCTGCAAGAAAGATACAGAGTTGCTGGGCTTTTTAAAAAAATAAGAGAATCCTCCAAAGCACAAGCATTGGCTTGATTTGCACGTTCATTTTAAAATCACTTGTCAATCTTTCCCGGAGTTTCATTGATCCTTTTTCTCTCCAAAGAGTCAATGCCCCTTTCCGTCCCCTTTTCTATTGGCTTTTGGAATTGATCAGAATTCTGTTGTATAAACCAAATCCCAATACATGTTGTTAGGATGACCAGACCTCCTGATATTAGGGACTTTGTCTTATATACGCAACTAGACCCCTCCTTTATTTTTCACACTTGCTGTCTGGCCACCCTACATGATGTAGAAGCACCGTTCATATTCAGATTCCTGTGGCGGGAAAGGTCAGGAAAAGCTGCTCTTTCTCTGCAGAGCATGAGTGAAACACACTAGCCAACCTGAACACATGTAATCCCGGGAACCCTCATGGCTCAATGGCTGTTATTAGAATTATGTGTATGGCAGCAGCACCGAGAGGCCCCCCAGAACAGTGCCCTGTTGGGTTAGGCTCTATATGAACATATAGTAAAAAGCAGCTCCTGTCCCGAAGAGCTTAAATTTAAAACGAGACACAAGAAGTCAGCCAAACAAATAGGCAGGGAAGGTGGGGTAACAACAATACAAGCAAGGCCAATCAGCAAGGGGTAGCCAGTGAGCTACTCTATAGTCACCCTGTGCCAATGGGGAGATCCTTCAAAATGGGTATGGGAGAAATATGTCTGTTTCAGAGCTGTGTGCTGTCCCCTCTAGTTTTTTGCATGGTCCTTCGAACCAGTTTTGAAATTGATGAATAACTTGGTTGTTTTTTACTATTCATGGTATTCATATTTGGCACCAAAACTGTTCACTAGTCTAAATACTCCAGCACTCAGTGTGTTTAGAGACATGCCCATACACACATCATCTCTCTCATCTTCATTCACCTTCATTGGGTAGCTACACATTTGGGGTTCATCCTAATCTCATGGAAACACTGGGAAAGTGATAAGAAAGTTCCAAAAATCTCTCATCAGTAGCTGTTTAAATGTCCATGTATGCATAATGTAGATAATACATGAGTATCTGATACCAGGCTTATAAACTACAGGCTTTTACAGCCCTAGATATTAAATGGTGGTTCATGAACTGAAATGATACCATGCACTGTTACAAAAGATTATATCATACTTGCTGTTTTGGGGCCCAATTTTCTTCACTCATTGAAGTTAATCAGAGTTTTGCCATTGGATTCAGTGGGAGCAGAATTGTGCTCTGAAAACTTTCAGCCCAGGCTCCCAAAGCACTTGGCAAACATCCGTTGATTAAGTTTCCCAGCCCCTGTGAGGAGGTAACTGAGGCATAGAGCAGTGAAGTTATTTTCTTAAGGTGCCTAGATACTAAACTGAATGGCAAATAAATTCATAGTGGTTAGATAGATTGGTGGATAGAGGCCACAGTCAGGTTTTGTGAGAGCCAGGAATAGTTCCCCTAGTCTAACCACTAGCTACAGGCAGCAGAAAGTCTTCAAAATTGCCCATATTTGCTATTTAGCAGTATAATTATAGATATCAAATAAATTCATTAGGAAAGGCTGTAAGGGGAGGCATCAGTGCTAAACCTAATGGTTCTAATTATTCAGTTCATTCAGTCACTCAGACACTCAGCCCCATTGACTCAATGGCAGTGCATGGTCTAACTTAGAACAGCATAGGCTAAGATTGTACAGCTGGCCATGGTTTCTCCATCCTCTCTGTAAGTTGCATGTGTATGTAATGTACACACACACATAATTAGATGAAACAGGATGGTCTCTGTAGATAGGAAGGATGATTACTTAGGAGAAGACAGGGAATCTGGGCTCCTATAAGGCCCAGTTCTATTTCCATTGGTGTCAGTGGCAGCAGAATCAGGTCATTGGCTTCAAGGGTAGATTTGGCCCCTGTCCTTGGTATTGTAGGAGCCTCTGATTAGCTGATCCTTCTTTAATAACCAAAGAGTTAGCACTGAGTTCATCCTGGTTGTGAGCCTATGGAAATCAGTGGAGTTACATCAGGGATACATTTGACCCTTAGAGGGTCAGGCAACACTTAGTCCATAACTCACTCCACTGTGGCTACACAGGGTGGAGTCTCACCAGGATGAGTGGTATTTCACAGGTCCTCCTGTCTTCCATGAGATACATAAACCAGAGATCCTGCCTGCTCGCACTGATTTAAATCCTATGGACACTTTTATTCAGGAGCCAGGGTGTTTTAGCTCCAGCATCCTGTTCTAATTCCAGTTCGGATCACAATATTCTACTACCCTACATACTCCCAGAAGCCCACTAGATCGAGGATGCCTCTTTGCTCCCTGTACAAAGCTGTTGTACAGCATTATTGTGTTCTACCTCACAGCGGCTGCATTTCTGTGGTGGATGAAGTGTTGTTTGTAAAAAACTTAGGGATCCTTTAGGATGAAAGGTGCAATCTAAAACATGAGATCCTTGTTGGCGACAGCGTTTAGGCTTTAGGAAGAAAAGAAATAAGGGAAAATGCAGTCAGTATCGCCTCCCAATTCATTTCAAAGGCTAGACGCCTAGATTGTCTCCCATAGGCAAAAAGTTCAGATCCCAAATTTTCAAACAATTTGGGGATGCTAGTGTTCCAGGTCTTCGGTTCAACTCATTACAAAGGTAGAGGTTTCAGAGTAACAGCCGTGTTAGTCTGTATTCGCAAAAAGAAAATGAGGACTTGTGGCACCTTAGAGACTAACCAATTTATTTGAGCATAAGCTTTCGTGAGCTACAGCTCACTTCATCGGATGCATGAAGTGAGCTGTAGCTCACGAAAGCTTATGCTCAAATAAATTGGTTAGTCTCTAAGGTGCCACAAGAACTCCTTTTCTTTTTACAAAGGTAGAGGTCATTTGCAAAATGTGGAACTGGAGTGGAAATTCCAGAGTGGAATTTCAGAAACATCCATATTTTGGGTCTGTTTAGACCAATGTGTAGTTTTCACCAATGAAAGCGGCTGCCTTCAGTTGTGCACAAACAGCAGTCAAACGTGCAGTACCTAATGCAGCTGAGCCTAAATGTGTCCACGGGCCATGGGGGGAAAAAGGGGAAAGTTGCAAATTGGAGTCAGTAGAACCAGATATTTGTTTTCTGGCAGCACAGTTGCCACTGACCTGAAGGCCGAAGCTTCATGTGGGTCTGTTTTTAATCTCTTTCCCTGCTCAGGCTGATCCTGAAGCCCTTCTGCACACAAACCTCCCATTGACTTTTGTGCGCATCCAAGTGTGCAGGCTCTAGGATCAGAACAGAGGGAAATGGCGCTGGTTCAAACTCACAGCCGGCTGCAGCCCTTTTGTCAAGCGGGCAAGGCCCCTCGCTCACAGCTGCGCTCTTTTGATTCCACCCAGAATCACCTTCACCTTTATTCCTAGTACAGCCTGGATAAAAATCTGTAGTTTGACTTCTGTATTTGCGGGGCAGCTGCAGTCAAGCCAACAGGGTCGCGCACAGGGAGGCAAATTCTATGCCTGCCCAAGGCTTGCAGTTTCGAGGGGCAGTAACACCCCACCACCACCACCACCAACTACACATATGGTTTCAGCCCACACAGCTGTTTGGATTACTGGAAACTCAAAACCCCACAACTTAACACAATAGCCAAATGGAGATATTTGATGAATCTGCTTCTCAAAATATGAGATCTTATTGCAGCCTCTACACTTCACCCCAGGCAGGATTTTTTGTTAAGCTGAGGCCTGGTCTACACCTAAAACTTAGGTCAACCTAGCTACATCGCTCTGGGCAGTGAAAAATGTTGCCCTCTGTGAGCTGTAGTTAGGTCGAGGTAACCCAACTGTAAACACAGCTAGGTCGAAGTGGATTACCTGCATCGGTGGAAAAACCCTTCCCATCCGCATTGCAGTGGCATGGAAAGTTAGGATGAATTAACTAAAATTGTGAAGTTAAAGTGCATTAAACCCCTGTACAGATGCTCTCGTTCAGAATTACAGTGGCCTTCGTTCAATGTAGTTTGAACCTGCTTCAAGGAAAGTTTTTATGCTGTAAGCAAAGGAGTGAATTTAAACAAATCTAGTTTCTCCTACAGAGATACTCTTAAGAGCGACTTTCTTTGGTTTAGCCACCCCTTCCCAAGTGACGACATAAACTAAACTGAAGAAAATCACTCTTACTGGAATAAGAGTATCCATATAGGGGTTACGCTGGTACAACTAGACCTATATGACTATATCAGTATAATGGGTAAAACTCTCCCAGATAGATAGGGACAAGTGGAATATCAGCAACAACTTCTTGACAGTGAGATCTGTTAGGCTGCAGTATAGTTATCCTATGGAAGTTCCGGAAGAGTATTTGGTTGGCTAGTTAACATTGGTCTTGAGAAAACACCAGTAAATGTATGATAGGGATCTATCCTTCATTGGTTGGGAGCTCAACTAAGTGACTTAATAGAGCATTTCCATTTCTAACATCTATCAGACTAATGACATGAAGCTATGAAATCTGCTCCATGTGTGTTTCTGAGTCATACGGGCTTACTTCACTCCTGTTAATGCAGCTGTGGAAGAAAGAGCTGGATTCTGTTGTGAAACACGTACGCCTACAGCAAACTGTCAGCTGGTTTCTGATGGCAGAATGCTCATTGCCAATGACAAGGGGTGACAGCATCCTTTAGTGGACTGAGCACAGGGCTGGGAGCCAGAAACTCCTATGTCCTCTTTCTCTGCCATAGACTCAGTGTGTGACCTTGGCTAAGTTATGTAAGCTCGCAGGCCCAGATCCTCAATGAGATTTAGGAGCTGGACTTCCATGCCTCAGTCTCCCCTTTACTTCAAGGGAGATAATGATCCTTCCCCTTCCCTTCCGGGGGCTATACCACTTAACCTTTGTGCAGCTTTTTGAAAACCAAAGTGCTGTGTCCGTGCTCAGCGAGGTTGTCTCACTAGGTAGGCAGCCGAGGAAACCCTGCCGGTTTTTCAGATCCCAGGCACTTGCTGGCGGCTAGAAAAAAATAATAATTTTTTGGTGACTTGCGAACCAAACTGTGAAATGGCCAGGAGCAAAATCCGGGACCCAGCACAGTCACTTGTACAGTCAGTCCCGCTGTAAGTGCAGAGGGAAGCCTGTCCAGCCTAGCCAGTATGTGGGTGTGTTTCTCTTTCCAGAGGGGTGTTCTGCTGGGGGTTAGGGGTTCCTGTGGTTAGTTCTTTAGTGTAACCAGCCTCTCTCTCTCTCTCTCTCTCTCTTATTACTCGAGACTAGTGCATGGAATGAATTAATTCCTCCGCCTCTTTCCTTCTCCCACCCCCCCTGCCTCAGTGCGCTGCTGGCCTGTAACAGGAGCCGGCCTGGCCTGGGAGGCGGAGACGCTGGCTCCTGACTGGAGGAAGGGAAGAGCTCAGTAGACATTGGAAGGCAGCGGGGATGATTGATGGTTTTGGCTGTTTTGTACGCGGGGAGGGGTGCGGGGGAAGAAAGAGAGAAGAAGAAAAAAAGTCTGTGTAATTTCAGTGCAGAGGCGACTGGAGCCTGCCAGCTAGGGCTCCCTGCCCTGCCCAGCTAGACAGACTCGCTCGCTGGGGGTCTGAGGGATTCTTTTCAGTTTCTCTCCTTCCTTTCGATTGATTTATTTTTTTCCCTTTATTTTTCTTTCTTTCTCTCTCTCTCTCTCTCTCTCTCCTTTTTTTTTTTAACTCTTCTTCCAGGGAAAGGATAGTGGTTAAAGCTCGAGCTGGATGGATGGGTATGGGGAGAGGGGCAGGATCCACAGCCCTGGGATTCTTCCAAATCCTCCCTGTCTTTCTCTGCATCTTCCCTGCAGGTAAGCAACAGCCCCTTGGGTTGAAGACTTTTCATACCAAGCCTTTGCTGGCAGATTCAGTTACCCCCTGTCCGGGGGCCTCTCTGTCTCTCTCTCTCTTTGCAGCAGTTCGCCACATGTTTAAAAGCTAGCGGGGCTGAGGTTTCAGCCCACATTTCTTCTTTCTTGATCTCTGATTCTGTCTGTCGCTGGTGCCTACCCAAACCTGCCTTGTCCCTCCAGGAGGGAGGTGATCAGAGTGGCTACACAGTGGCTAATGCAATCAGAGCATTGTTCTGAAGAGGCAGAAAACATCTCCCCTCCTGCCCTCTCAAATGCAGGCTAGGCTAGGTTTGCCGTGTGCAGTGGAAGAAGGAAAAAGTGACCAGGGAAATCTATACTCAATGCCAGATTGTGCCCATTGCCTGGTTGCATGCCTCCAGCTGGTGGGGAGCAACAGAAGTTGGCTTCAAGTCTGAAATGTTCCTTGGGCTTTTAAAAAGCAAGGCAATGACTGGGGATTGAATCTTGAGCTGTGATTTGGGATGGGGGGGTCAGGTTTAGCCCTCATTCAAGCTCTGGCCATGTGAAGGGACGTTTAAATACACACAGATGTACACATTAATGGTCCTGATCCACTGCTACCTCACGGCAGCTGGACCTCATTTGTTTCAAGGGAATTGCACTGTGATAAAACTGGAGTAACACACCCGACCGATTTCAGAGTAACAGCCGTGTTAGTCTGTATTCGCAAAAAGAAAAGGAGTACTTGTGGCACCTTAGAGACTAACCAATTTATTTGAGCATAAGATTTCGTGAGCTACAGCTCACTTCATCGGATGCATACCAGCAGGAGAGTGGGGTGGGGGGAGAGAAAACCTTTTGTAGTGATAAACACCCATTTTTTTCATGGTCTGTGTGTATAAAAACATCTTCTGTATTTTCCACAGTATGCATCCGATGAAGTGAGCTGTAGCTCACGAAAGCTTATGCTCAAATAAATTGGTTAGTCTCTAAGGTGCTACAAGTCCTCCTACACCCTACAAAACAGCTTTGGGATGGAGGGGTCACCACACATTCCCTCCTGGCCTTGGTTGGGTTTTTAGCACTGCCTGCCTCCTCTGCTGGGCCGTTGTTCAGTTAGAAAACTTCACTTAGCTGGGTTGGAAGATCTTGCCCCGGTCACAGGGTAAAAGCAAGTCAGATGGCCCCACAAGGGTCTGATCCCCCTTCCCAAAGCCTGGCACCCCCATTACTGCTTCCCCCTGCACCGCACACCAACATACACTTGCAGCTCTTGCTAATCTTTCTGTTTGATAACATTTGAGGGCCACCCTCCGCCTTACCCCGGTTTGTTTGTATTGTGTCAGAAAAGGAGAGAATTTCAGAATTACAGCTGAAAACGCCATCTGTTTCCAATGAATCCCCCATAGTTTTTCACAATGTTTTTGGCAGATCTGTGCTGCAAATTCCTTCAAGCGGTGAGTGCTTGTTTTTGTTGGGGGAGGGGAAACCAACTCCACAGAGGCAGATTTGTTCCTTCCAAAACTCTCCGGTTCCTTTACCTCCTTTTTTTTTCATGGGGGGGGGAGGGGGGAAGAAAAAGAAAAGCCCTAAAGTTAAATCCCCTTTTTTATTTTTTATAACATTTCTCCCTTTTCTATTGCCCGTGCATTTCCTTGGCACTATCTAAATCTCTTAAGCTAAGATGTCTCTCTCACACATGCAATAAATAAATAAATTATCCACCTCCCTGGTACAGTAAAATAAACCCCTTCGTTGAAATATTAGGATCAACATGTCTACCTAGATCTCCCTGGTCATTGGGCTATTTTAGCCCCGAGAAAACTGAACGCAGAGAAGTGGGGAGTTTTTGATCAGATCTGATACATGTTGCTTAAGTTGCAGCCTTTGAGTCAAAGTGCTGGGGCTGAGTTTGCCATACAAGAAAGAACTTGATATTAGATCTGTGTGTTTGTGTTTTGTTTTGAATTCTCCCCTCAACAGCCAAATATATTTCAAGGAACTGGCAAAACTGGGTAATCAAGACCCACTGTGAACTGCTAAGAGGAGTTTGGGCACAAATCTAGACCATACTCCTCATTCATTATGCTTGTCCCTCGCTCTGCATTTTAATAGGGGTCCACGAGGTAGGAGGAAGAAAAAGGGGTGTCTGCACCTGGGTGTCTCCCCCCCTTCTCTCCACTCTGCCTCCTGCGAATTCACATCTCAGCAGCACATGGTAAAGGGGTGGCATAACCCTGATGGAGTCTTAAAACTGCTTCTGAAAGTTACAGCCTGTGTTAGAGGGGCCATGCCAAGCGCTGCTCCCAGCCTGGCCCGACAGAGCGCTCAGTGTGTGAGCTGAGTGCCCCACCAAGCCCTGCACTTTTTCTTGATTTTTTTTTTTTTTTTTTTTTTTTTTTTTGCTTTTTATGAAACATCGGGCTGGATTCAGATCTCCTGGTGCTTTGACCCTCGTGGCGTACCCCCGAGTTTCTCCTCATTTGCACCCTGGGGCGGGATTTTCCTCTCACCCCAGCATGGCTCAGGAGTAACCCCACTGTGGAGTTGCACTGGTACAAAACAGCCGGCGGGAGAGTCTGACCAAAGTCTGACATTTTTTTATTCCCTGTTCCCTAAGCAAATCTCCTACGGAGGAGTCTAGGAGCCAGATTTCTCAAGGCTCAATTTGCAAGTGCTCAGCCCTCATTATTAAGGGCCTTGTTTCTAAAAGTGCTCGGTATCCAGTAGCTCCCGTTTGCGACCCTTAGGGTAACGTATGTGGCACTCAGCACCCCCTGTGCCCAGCTCTTGTTAAAATCCAGCCCTGTATTTCAGGGCCTAAATGGGAGCTGAACTGTACTGAAAATCTGGCCCTATGAGTTTTGCCTAAGGAAGGACTCCAGGGTTTGTCCCCTGTACCACACTCTGTAGGAAGCTGCTGTAGCTTTTGGGTCTAGCTGAGAAGCTGATCCAGTTCCCCTTGATATTTTCTGTCCCCAAACTGTAATAAGCCCCTTTCTCCAAGGAGTGGGAATGAATGCCTCCAATCCATCCAGGCAGTGTGGTTTATTCCAGATAAGGATCCAGCCTATTGGAGGTTTATCAGATAGGTTGATAAATGGCTTTTGTCTCTTAGCGGCAGTGAGGGATGTGATCTCAGCACTAAGCTGAAACTGAGAAGTGGGGCTTAGAGGTTGTTAAAACAACACCTTCTAAACCCTTAAAGTGACAGTGCTTGGAGTATTCCCAGTCCTGGGGAGATATGGCAGAGTGGCCACAGGGATGGTTCTTGTGTTAGGCGTTATCATGGAGACAGGACTCAGATGTAGACCTGGAAGTATTTTGGCTTCACAGGTTTCTTGCTGTGCTGAAGCGGGTCTCTTATTTGGAATGGGGAGTTTTGTATGACTGCCGCTGAGAATCATATTGGGGCTAAAAGAAGGTGCCTTGTCTTTAAATGCAGATGGTGTGGGCTTTTTTCATGGGAATTGCCTCTCTTGAATTCCAAGCCCCTGGTTAATAGGAACCGGGAGACGTTATGGGGAACTTTGGGTTTATAATAGCAGCAGCTGAGGTTTTCTTCTTCTGTGGCCTGAACAGCTGCACCATGTCAGACGTGCACATAAAAGTGATCATAGAGCTGTGCAGTCATAAAAACTTCTTTACCCGGGGACTTAGTGGGTTTCTACACCAACCTGCTGCCTCTGGAGACCTGGGCTGAAATGCTGGGTCAAGCTACAATGACAAAAAGTTTTAGGGTTTCTCATCCAAATCCCTAAGGGACACATCACTTAAATCACCAAACTCTTTGGCACAGTTGCACACAATTGTCAGTCTCATCTCAGCACAGGCCCAGAACTCGAATTATCAGGGTGTTGCTGTGGGTTAGCCTGGAGGTGCATTGGCAGATCCGAGGCGGTGTCAAGGACGAGAAGAGCAGGGGGATGCCGCAGGTTTTGCTCTTTTTTGCTTTGTTGTTTGACAGAGCTGTGGGGAAACGACCCAGGACTGGACTAGCAGAAGGCGCTGCAAGTCAGGATTGAGGTGCATCAGCGGAGCTGCGTGGGGAACCCAGGACTGACATACCAGCCATGGGTTTGCAGGGTGTGTGTGTGTCAGGATTGAGCGGTTTTGGCAGTGTTGGCAGCCCAGGACTGGAATAGCAGGCAGTGCTACAAGTGAGAACTGACAGACACTGACACAGGATTTGGGATTGAAATATATGGGGTGCTGCAGGTCAGGATTGAGTTGCATTGGCAGAGCCCTGTCCACACTGAGCCTGGCTCTACAGGCTGCTAGTGCCTTTCTTTCATGAGGACTAAATTCACTTATAAATGCTTTTAAAAGGCTTTGTAACCTACAATTGACAAATATTGTAATTAAGAGCAGGAGTCCCATAACTGGGCCATTTTTTTTTTTGCATTAACTGTAATAACAATAACGGGGATTTCAATTGTAACCTACAGATTTCTTTGCACTCAAGTGCAATCTTGCTCACAAAATCACCGCTCCGCCCACAGAAGTTTCTGTAGTGAGGAGGGAGAATTGAATTATGTCCAATTGCAAAACCAGATGCCATCCCTTCGATGAAGTCATAGGGCTTTTACTGCAAAAGAACAAGCTGGCTCCCTATGCACAAGTAGCCATCTAAGTGCAGACTGAGCAGCTCTGTCTAATGTCCTGCACATGGCTACAGGGAGCTGCACTTGGGGAGGGAGAATGCAAGTCTCTACAGAGGCGAGATTAGTGAGTTCCTCTGGGTGGAGCATCAGCTGGGTTATTGGAGGAGCTGAAAGGCCCAGCCTTGATCCCATGGCAGTTTTGCCATTTATTTTCATGGGTGCCAGATTTGGCCCTAAATGTGTGGTGATATGTGGAGAGTAGGACAGATAATGCATTTCACTTGAGTCATGACTGTTCTATGGAATAACCCACCAGGAAGGGGGCTCTGTGGCATAAGCATCCTGTTAGATATTGGCTTTCTGGACTCCTTTGAGTGCTGTTGGCTTCTGTCT